TGCCACACCCAGACCCCAATACCGACAAAGCCCAAATTTTACGTGGAACGAGTTGAGATTATAGGTGACCTAAATCCATGAGATGGGTACGGGGGCCCTTACCGTCTAGGAGGAGAAGCGGTAACGGTAGCCGTCCGGCGGAGCCGGCGGAGCCAACGGAGCCGGCGGAGCCGGCGGAACGATCCGGACGGGACCGAAACCATGTGTACCGCCAGCGCTAACGCTGGTGGTACAATGATGATGAGGAGGAGGAGGGGGAGAAGAAGAAGAAGAAGAAGAAGAAGAAGAAGAAGAAGAAGAAGAAAAAGAAGAAGAAGAAAAAGATACCTATGAGAGCAGTGGTGGTGCCCCCTGGTGCCCCCACAGTGGACAATCCAGGCCCATTATTGCCAGCACTGGACACATAGATGACCCCATGCTTGTCCACTGCCTCACTGAGTAAGGAACACACATGTCTGAAATGATTTCAAAATATGGTCATATATAACAATTTATCAGGATTGCAGGATAATATATGTAGCCTTCAACAGGGGTCGAAATGTTTAGAAAATCATACTTTCCCTGCCGGGAAAGTGATTTTGTACATTACTTTCCCTGCAAGAAAGTAGCTTTCCCTGACAACAAAATCATGAAAACCGATTTCCCTGATATTAAATTAGATTATTTTAATAAGATGATGAATTATAAAGGTAAGAACATATCTTTGAGAAATGAATGTTTATTGATATGAATTAAACTAACATGGCATCCATATATAGTGTTTTTTATAACAACTAGGTATATTTGTTAACATTAATGTGACTGAAATCTTAGTACCAAATACATATGCTGCATCTGCAGTGCTAACTGAAAGGACCATCACAATAGCCAAGAGAGCACGGATATTAGGGTAAATGTCTTTAAGTACAGTCAGCATTCTACTTAAAAAGGCAACTATGTCCTGGCTCTTTTCATGAAGTTCCAGCATGGATTTTTTTTTTTAATGAGGCCATTCAGCCTGGCACGTTTGTTTTAAAGCCAGCATTATCCAGTGTCCTAAAATGTTCTGAAAGCCTTTCAACTGTCTCATCTCCATACTCGTCACTGTCTATATTCTCCATGGGTCCATCTTTGACAGCTAAAAAGTAAGTATTAATAATAATTGATTGATTGAGATTTTATTGCAATTATATACAGTTACAGAGAAATAACTGGAAACTGTTCACTAGAATGGTAATGTGAATACTTTACTATGAACTGAAGGCAGACTCCGGACTTGCAATTATCATGTAATCATGGTCAAACCAATAAACAATTGGACTTGTTACTAGTGTGCACAGTGATTAATTTCATTTGAAACTTGGGGCATTTTCTTAATAGTAGACAATTTCACACCAATTAGAAAAGGGTAATTTGAAGAAGTGCAGTGAAATTTTGATGTTACAAACACTCCATTTTCAAAATTAAAGGGAATAAAGGTATTAAGTCCTTAATTATAAAGGCTAGAATAACCCATGACATCTTTAAAAAGGTCATCAGTTTGGTAGGAGTTCAATGAAAAAAAAAATCAATCACTTCTCAAATAAATTAAATAAGTCCAGGTGGAGCTCTTGAGAAGAGCCGAAAATTCGAGGGTAAGAAAAACTCAGTCGGTGAAAAGGCCCATTTGTTTTTCAATACATCATGTCTTCAGCAAAGAGAACGAGGTAGGGCAATTTTTATGTTTACTACGTAACAGAAAAGTAAAAACGTCTTGTTTATCATTAAATTTACAGTTCATTAGATATGAAACTTGTTAGACATTATTATTTACGACGTACCTGTATCGTCGCCATGTGCACCTGCTTCACCCTCATTTCTTATCGTGTCTTGAAGTTTACATGTGTCTTGTTTAGCGAGTTTGCTTGGTTTTCCCTTGCTTTCGTCATTAATTTACCACTTGAGGAACTTCATTTTCTGACCATCAACCTCCGTTAGACTTGAGCCCGACTTATGCGCGCAACCTGAATCTTGCATCAGCTGATCGTGCATAAATGGCTGACCGATATTCGTTCCCCGTACTACGCTGTCTGGTGCCCCTTACTTGTGTAGGCTTGGACGCTGCGTTAACTTTGTTCCCGCACATTAATTTGTTTCCGTGAGCTGCGTAGGTTTGTACTTCTCTATGTTATACCTGCTAGCTGCGCAGCCTTGATCCTTTCTATGTTTAACATTGTGTAAATGGGATAGGGAACGAGTCAGATATACCACTGTAAATGCCTCGAGACGATTTTGATTGACAACGCTCTTGAAATTCAAAAGGAGGCCCTGTAACAAATTCTAGCTAGTCACGTGCATGCGTCCTTAGTTTCAGAGTGAGTACTTACGTCGAGCTTACTTGCGTTGTGGAAAATGGTTAAATAATTGACGGCTTGGTGCCAGGAAATAAATTTCATCATAGGTAACAGTTCTTCGGGAGAGCGACTTCTAAGTGCGGTTTCCCGAGAGGTTTTTGCATTTCCCGGGCATTTCCATTGATTTACCGGACGGGAAAGTAAGATTTGACATAGATTTCCCGAGCTCGCAATAGCTTTCCCCACGGGAAAGCGGGAAAGCAACATTTCGACCCCTGTTCAATATCTCAAACTAGGGGTGGATTAAGAAATATTTTCTGACAGTCTTCCAAATCGTCTATGTTGATCCATCCTCCATTTTTGACTGTTTCCAACAGAAAAAAATTAGATGCCCAACAATGTTAACTTAAAAATTCTGACCATCTTCTGGAAGACCCAGAAGACGAATTTCATCTACCCCTGCAAACAGTAACAGACATTAAACTATTATTATTAATATCAGAATGTGTAATATTACTGGAGACTTAAACACTTTTTCATTAATCACTATCAACCTTACACAGCCAAAGCGGATAATAGAATTACAATCCATAATTTAAACCTATTATTTAAATAAATAAATAAATAAATAAATAAATAAATAAATAAATAAATAAATAAATAAAATCCTACCCAGTGTCGGGCCAGTGAGTGGCTTCCCCATAGCTGTAGTTAACCAGGTCACACTTCAGCTCTGTCACCTTTATCATCTGTCACAAAAATAAATGAGTACAGTCATGGTCTCTTGGTCAAAGTTTGTAAAAAAATGCCTATTTTTCTAAAAAGACTAAGCAATGTTTGCATCCTTAATCAAGGGAATCTGTCATGTGATCACTGCCTTGAAATCAAAATGCCATGCCCCATGTTTTGGCTTTTCAAAAACAATTTAAATTTTATCAAGAAGTGGGTAGTCAGATTAATTCAATTATCCTCATGCCACAAAACAAGTTTTTGGCAACATTTTAATTCAAAAACTCACATTGCACTGAAAGTCTACTGAGCAAATTGGATTTTAGACTCTAAATAAATAAATAAATATTATTATGTACAGTACAGATGATTGTGGCAGCTTAAATCAACAAATATAACACTACTTTGGTCAATTTATGAATAAGGTGAAAATCAACGTACTGCTCTGGCCAATGAGGTTCCCGTTTCCATGGAACCAAGACGTGTGTCTCCAATCTTAATGGCGACTATCTGAGCCCCGGGTGCTACGCCATTCTTCTCTGGTTCTGCAGGAAAATGTCCTGCGGCTATACACGCCACATGGGTGCCGTGGGAACCTGGGAAACAGTGCAGAATATCACAATCATTATGATTTTTTAAAATTATATGAATATTTTACTTGTTAAGTGGCCTCAGACTGCCACGCTGTGATAACAACTTCATGATATTGGTCAAAGGGTATTTATTTATTTATTTTTATTTTTTATTTATTTATTTATAAAAATAACTGACCCAGAATAAATGTATATGATATCTTTGAATTGCCTCCACTACGAGCAACAAAATAAACTCATTAAGACTACCACAATTTGCTCAGAGGTTTTAGGTTTAAAAAATAACAAGGCACTCAAGCAAACTGAAAACATTACCTACCTGCATTTGTAACTACTTCTAACAGGTTGCCCTCATTGTAGATGTTAACACTATAGTTCAGCATATCTGAAATGAAATGATCAAAACTGACTGAAAACACCAATGCTGATACCATAAACATCAATGAAAGCTTAAAAAATACATAATGGTATTCTATCACACAAATGACTGAATGAGTGAATGATAGGGGTTGTGTAAATGTAATATGAAAAGTCAAACACTTCAACAGTATGTCAGCAGTAATTTACTGAATATATTTCAAGAACTTTTATCTAAATCTCTTGCTGCCAAAAGGAATCTGTATTAAAGGTGAAATTAAGATATCCAGTGAAGCGTCTTCTGTTTTTAAGTAGTTGACACATTTGCAGTCTTGCAGGCAAGACTCCATCACACTAGTTACCAAGGAACATCTGCATGCTGAACAGTGGGATTGCAGTCACAACATTTGACTCTAATAGCACTGGAACCTAGGAGAGCCTATTCTATAGATATTGGTGAGCGTTTCCCCCAAAATAACCAAGACATTCACACCTTACTTAGTCTTTTCTTGAAATGCAACACTCAAATCCCATTATGCACATTTTACGTTGTTTTTATCATATGCAATTAATGTTCTTTGGAACCACCTAGCTCCTGGTCCACAGTGATGGCAAATGCTGGACTTAGAATTCACTCTCTGTAAAGTGGATTTTGTTAAATTCCAACCCAAAACATCAATGCAGGATTTGCAACAATCAAGAAGAGACACTGTGCCTTTATTTCACTGTTAATTTTTTTAGCAGATAAAACATAAGCCACGCTTGTCCCCACCACTGTTACCTTCATTGCTCAGTGTCCCATACTGGTGCTCTTCTCTGTAGTTGGCCAAGAGTTTGCAGGATTCCAGGTCACCTTGTTCACTGGTGTCTACACAGGCTCTAAAAGATGAACAAAGACATGTCCAGTCTGCACCTAACAAGGTTTTACCTTTAACTTGTTTAAATGCAAATACTCCATTTTGAAATTTAGGAAAATTTCAGCAAATTATCTTTTATCACCAACTGAAGTCTATAATAAATATCTATCTAAAATCAATTAGATTACATTATATTAATGAAGTTAGAAAGTAGTTCTAAATTTGCAAAATTTAAACAACAACAGACCACTCCGACCACTCTGTTACTTTTATTAAAAATGTGACCCAGAATTTGAAATAAACTGAAATAACATTCATACCTCCAAGTCTCACCGTCATGGAAGACCACACAGTCAAATACAGGGCCACAAAAACTGAAATTTTTGTCCATACTGGTCAGATGCTCCACTCGGGACTTCAGGTCTTCTTTGATTAATTTTTCCTCCTGATAAAAGAAGATGTAATAATGTAAAATAACCCAAATAATGAGATATATGTGGTCTTAATTTCTAATACCCACAATCTTCCACAGTCCAATATACGTACCCCAAGGGATTCTCCTACTTAGTGACCTGATAAAGTTTCTGTTCTCAAACATAAAGCCACATCTGTACAGATACAACCACAAACACAGCACTTACAGCATTCGGTGTGGGGTGCTTGGCATCAAACTCCTCCAGGAGTCTGTTGGCCTCAGCCAGTGTCACCCTGTGTTGTGGGTCCCACGTCTTCTCTCTGTTCTCCTTGGACAGTCGGTCCCGCAGCCCCCTGGGGTACAACTCCATGGCACTCTTCACCCCCACATGCCACTGCCCACTGGGGTTCCTCCAGTCCTCTGGGACCTGCAATGTGAAGTGGGTGTTATGTGAAGATGTAACAGGATGTGTAATGTGAAGTGTGTTATGAAAATATTATGGGAATGTGTTATGTGAATATATAATGGTAATGTGAAAAAGATTGTGAAGGGCTGTCATGAGAATATCTAATGTAAAGGATGCTTTATTGCAAACAAATTATAAAGAAATTCAGATCAAGTCTGCCCCCTCATTCTTCATCAAACTTTCCCAGGTATTTGTACAGACAAAATTAAGTTAAAAAATGAAAATAATATGTCAAACTATATGCAGTAAGCCACACAAACCCTGAGTTTTCTCCCTGTGAGTCCTACAATCTCTCCCTCCTGAGCCTCGACTATTGTGCTCGTGTCCACATCGCCTGATCCGGTGGTGTCTATAATATCTATCACCTTAGGACGACCATCTGTGGTCACCTGAAACAGCAAAATTTCACCAGCTCTGTTATGCAAGTTCAAAGTTATGATAACAGTATCTTCAAAAAACATGTAACTCAGTCATCACCATTCACATAATTTAATGTCTTGTTCCAATTAATGCAGGGATTGAGACTACAGATATTATAGTAACTGTTGTCTCTACCAACTGGGAGCTATGGTCCCCCTCCTATCCCCCCCCTTCTTCGATTCATCATTTACAGTCATGTACATTAATTTCTTTTATACTAGCACCAACTTTCCCAAGAACAAGACCATGTCCAGCCAGTCATTTGGACAGCCATTAGCCTCAAAAGACCACCTATATATCCAAAGATGGCTGGAAGGCTTACAGAATTTTTGGGTTGCTTGGTTGGGCTTGCTTGGGTTGGACTCCCTGTAAACTGATGACCAAATCACAGCTTCATATTTTGAACTCCCTGTACCTCAATTCCTGGGGAAACCCTGATAAGCTCACATAGTAAATATCAGAAACCATTAATAGGAACGCAACCACACAAATTGTTTTGACAGAAGTAGAGGTGTTTCAGCAGTGCAAGCATAGCTTTCATTTTCACAAGGTCATCAACATTCCAGTCAGTAATAAAATACTATTAATAAATTATAACAGAGTGTAATATGAGCAATCAAGCGCACTCAATGTATTCTAATTTCTATTGTTGGGCTGACATATAAAGCAAATGATGGATGTAGAAGAAAATCGAAATAAGTTAAGTGCACTGAAACACAGACTGAATCTTTGTAAATCAGGCCGAGTAATTGCATTACAAGTCTTGCAAACCTTGAAATTTAAAAATTAAAGGCTTGGTTTAACTGCGGCATGCTAACACCCGGCTCGCTTACCTGTAATCCAGGCGCTCCAGGGTCTACTCCTGTGTCTAAAATCGCTATAACGACTCCTCTCCCGTCATAGTCCGGATATTTAGCAAGAAAATTGAATGCACCAGTTTCTTTCTTCGGTAAAATGCCATGGATAGGGAAGTTGGTGTCCACAGTAGTAGCCATGATGACTTTACAGGGCCCAAGTCTCGCGAGAAGAGATTTATAAAATGATGCTTAAAACATTTCGTAAATATTTATCAGTTTATTCTTTACCAACACATACTTGAGTGGATAGTTATAATCAGTGGAACAGAAAATTTTTTAGTTGAATATCTACGTCTTCTTGAAAGAATTCGACGATATTTTGCTTAAGCTTAGAGCATAATAAAATCGGTCCCAGCAACCACACGCTGTAATAAAAACTTCCGGCTGCGAGGAGCACTTGAAATATGTTTCGGTGAACGCTACTTTAATGGAGAATTTAACGAGTGCGCCGGTCAGCAGGTCACAAAGTAGGCCACAGTCGAACAGACGAAGCAGGAGCAGTTTGCTTCGACAGCAAATGAGAAATCCACACGACCCTCTACAAATTCTTGAACGACTTTTAAATACTACAACTCTCCAAACTCAGCGAGTCCAGCATGGCAGCATCATTGGTAAGGCGACATTGATAATTTAGAAATCATCTCAGTGTATCGTTTGTTACGGTCTGAAGAAATCAGATAATCTTTTTTTGTATTCTTTATGTGGTTAAAGACAAATACATGGTCTTGTTTAGATTACACATAGCAGATATTAGGCGTAAATTTTGCTTAAAGTTAAACGAGATTCTTTATTGATACACCTTTACAAATAAGGTACAATCAAAGACAAAGACAATTACATCTAACTACAACAGTACAAACAGGTATATAAATAAATATACATGATTTCAATGTTTACATGTAGCATAATATCAATAAGTTACTTTATAATAAGTTATATAAGGAATGTATGATGGCAATCTATACATGAAGGTGATGAATTAGAATGAGTACATTGGAGAGAGTACAATGCATTAATAGAGGGCCTGTTCTCTTTGTTTTAAGCATCTATTTACAAAACACATAACCATTCTAAGAATGTCTATGTCTTGGGCACCCATAAGAAGATTAAACAGTTTATTATTGCTGAGGTCGCCCAGGGGTAGGAAATCTGACAGCTGCCCTCTGAAGGAATCACGTAGTGAGTCATACGCTTTACACTCTAGCAGGAGGTGGAACTCATCTTCTACTTTATTGGAATCACAAAGTTTGCACAATCTTAACTCTGCGGGGATTTTTGGCTTAAACGTCTCTTTGATATCATACTAGTACATGTTTATGGTTTAATTCTTAATAAAGATAATTTCCCCCTTCAAGTGATATGTTAAGAACATATACTTTCTTCAGCACTTGAATTAGAATTTTCTGAATACAGTCTTTTATTTGTTTGAAATTCAGAATCATCTTTTCATGCTTTCTTTCTCTCTACCGCCTCCCCCCCCACACACACACAAAATAACCTTCCTACCAACACAAGATACTTTACTTTGAGACCCTTTATTAGCAAGGTCAGTTCTAGTGAATATCTTACCCTAGTGCATGGACAATAGGTGTGATTATATTTGTTCATTGGTGCTTTAACTGTTTAATTTTTTTCACTCTGTTGTACTCTGTCTTATTAATACTTCAAAGTCTGTGCATTTTTTTTTTTTTTTCAATTTTTTTACATCATTTCAGCATGCACATTGCGTTTCCAATATTCTAATTCTTTTTCTGATAATGTTGGTCCAAGCTCTTCTCTTTGTATCACTTACTTGTTTCTCAGTCTACTGAATTATCACATTTCTCCAGCAGGACATTTAAGCTACTGAAGTGTGTAATGGCCACTTCATCTCATGCTTCTTTCTGTAATTTGATGATGATGATGATGATGGCTATATCTTCACCAAAGATTCAGGGAGAGGATATGAGGTTTGGTGTCATCTTTGTCCTTCAGTCCTTTGATAATTATGGAGACCCAATTTTTGATTAATAGTTGAAGCTCTCCCAAATTAAAACTTGAGGACAGGAAAAATAATGTCACAATACTTTTGTCTCCTGTAGACATAGGTTATGACATTGAAGGCGGCATAGCAGCCAAGAGAGAGGATGAGAAGCAGGAGGCAGTAAGGGAAGCCATACAAGCTGCTGAAGAAAGAGCTACGCGGGAGTTGAGAGCAGCACTGAAAAGATTGAGAAAAGATTTGACAGAGGAAAAGTTAAAGGCCTTGGAGGAGCAAAAAGCAGTGAGTTTATTGTGTGTGTGTGTGTGTGTGTGTGTGTTTATTGTGTGTGTGTGTGAGTGTTTGTCTGTGTGCTTGTGCTTGCGTGTGTGTGTGTGTGTGAGAGAGAGACAGAGAGAGAGAGATGAGAGAGGCTTTTATTTTTAATTAATTTTTAATGGCACATTGTATAACACTATATTAGAAAATTTCAATTAAAACAAATTGTACTACTCAAAAAATTTTAAAACAACTCTACCATACTAGGCTTAATTAGTACACTTATGTTATTTCAGTTATATAAAATGTTTCTTCTGACTTCAAAGCTAAAATTACAGACATTTTCACTCAGTTCATCTGACATGAGAACACAGAACAGAAACAGTTCTGCCTAATTGTTATATGTATTAAAGGCTGACAGTTTTGAATACAGTTTTAATACAATTTATTCAAGTTTGAAGTTAAATGTTTTAGGAAGTACTGAGGTACACATGTAGTGTGTTTTTTTTAGAAATAGATCATTATTATTCTTATTCTCATTATTATTATTATTATTATTATTATAATTATTATTCTCAGTACTATGAGGAGTTGGCCAGGAAGGTTGCTGAAGCGCGAGACAGAGCAGAAGAGGAAAGGATACGAGAACTGACCAAAAAGCTCCAGAAAGAGAAAGAGGAGGCCCTGAGAAAACAGTGGGAAGAGGCAGAGAGGATAAAACAAAAGGCAATAGATGAGGCCTGTGCTCTACTAGAAAAGAGGCTGCGAGATGAGTTTGCTTTAGAGAAGGAGTTGGCTATTGCAGAGACCTTACAGAAAGCTAGGGTAAAGATTTGTCCTTGATTCCTAGACTGAATATGGGAAAAGTGATGAGTGCTGACCTTTTTCTGTATCCCAATTTGCTGACTCAGTTGCTTAAAAAATCTTTGAAACAAAAAAAACAATGAAAAACAATAAAATAATCAGCTGAATGCTTTACTTAGCATTCAGAATTCGAATTGAATAACTGTGATTACAAATTATTTTAAAAGATAAATGGATTTCAAATTTAACTGAAACATATTTGTTATAATTCAGGTATTGAATGCTAAAATGGATAAATACAACACATCAAAATATTCTGATGATATTGACATCATTCCTATGAATTTAATGGATTTTCCGAAAAACATGTTGCTAATATGCAGTACATGACGACATAATAGTCCTTAAAAATCTGTTAATTTACCATTTAAAGGAACGTCACAAGAAGAAATTGGAAGAAGCCATTGCTGCTACAAAAGAAGAGTGTGAAAGACTTGCCCAGCAGGAGGCAGCACGTGTGGCCAAGCTCCATCAAGAGGAGATCAAGAGACATGAACACAAGTAAGCAGTGACTTTGACACATGCAATTCATATGAGCTGTCAGCTGGATTAATTGACCAAATACCAGTGTGACATAAAAAAAAACTTCAAATCTCTATAAACTAAAAATGTATAAATTTCATTTATTGAAGATAAACTGTTACCTGAGTATAACATTAAGGTGAAAACTATTATATAAATTTCTGTTGTCATAGATAAGCTGTTAGTATTAAGGTAAAAACTGTCTTTCACAATATCAGCATCATAGCATGCCATTTTATCTTTCCAGGTATGATATCCTCACCAGAAAATATAAAAAAGAGATCCGTCATAAAGAAAAAGTGGAAGGTGACTTCAAGGTATGAATTAAAAGTTTTATATTACATTGCACTGCAAATTACACCTTAAAGACATTAAAGAGGTGGTTCAACCTACAGCATGTGCGTTATGCTGGCAGAAATTGTCATTGTTGTTCACAGCTACACATTTTATATTTACACAAGTAAAATACTCTAATGCAGCAAAAATACACCTTAAAAAGGAAACAAATTACCGGGTATGTGAATATGACTTTTATTTCAAATATTTATATGGATGTTCTTTATTCATTGTCAATGTCTGTCATGTCAACTATTTTCAGGAGCTCCAAACTGACTACCAAAGATTCATGGACTATACGGATGGTTATTATCACTCTGATTACATGATGAGACTCAGAAAACATGGAGAAAACTTGGCCAAGAAGCGAGTCAGTGTAGTCACATATGAAGATATTGAAAAGCTCGATTTAAGCTGATATTAACTTCATAGCATCAAAACAGTTATCAGCTCTGATAATAATTTGTGTGTGTAATTCTGGTCTGAAGTTTAGACAGCCCCTGATGCAAGTAGTGTTCATAGTGCAGTTTACAATTAATTTCAAGGATGATTTCACAAAAGACCACCTGGGGGCAGTGCAGTGACAAGATAAATGTGTACTGAATTATTGCCATGAAGGTTTAATCTGCAAGTAGACAAATTTCACATTCTAAGCCTATTGGATAACAACTTGTCATTGAAATGAAGGAGATACGTTGTTCAAGTAATGTTTGTGCAAAGGCAAATTCTTCAGCCTCCTAAGTCAAAGGCAAAAATGAAGTCAAATCAGTAGATTATGTTTTCATTGCCACAGATTTCAAATTGTGTGTTTGTGGACATAATGTGTTTGATGAAATGATCAGAATACAGGGCACTTGTCGTGATTCAGTAGGAAAAGAAATGATTGGAATTCCAGCTAATTTTTTCTCTTAATATATTCTTAGAATTTTGTATTGCCAAGGATGATAGAAGTCTGTGCTTTTGGAGTGCTTGCTGTTTATAGTTTCAAGGTCAAGCTCATTCAGAACATGAAATAAAATAATGTGATTGATTATTGTACTATGATTTTAAAATCTTAGAACTAGAAGATCAGAGATGCAATACCGCCTCCTCAGTATGTGCCACCAGCTAGATAATGCACAGAAAAAGGATGAGTACACACAGAAAATAAACATTGTCAAATATAATTATAAAGAGTTTTAAATTTTGGCATATAATGGCTGACTCACCCTTAAAAATGTACCTATTTGTGCTAGTTACTCTGGCAGAACACGGACCAACATCAGGTTTAGGCTTAAGAAGTTTATGAAATGCAAAGTTAACCTTATTAAACTATCAGTGAGAAAAACGGAAGTATCACCAAGCGTGGCAACATACATGCCAAGCACTAACAATTGTTTCAACAGTGTTGTCAATCAACATACAGGAAACAGTTAACCAAAGACATGACTGTTGTATATTTATTATTATTTTTTAGTTAATCTTTATAGGTTTACATTTGATTTCGTCTTATTACAATGACAAGATTAACACAATGTTTATGGTTGATCTTCAGAAGGATTTTTCTACAACATGCTTTTTTACGTGAATTTAGAAGGCTAGATATAATGCAAAGCACTGCATCAAAACTCGGTCAACATTGTTTTCATAGTCTTTTATTTGAAAGTTTACATCAGTGTCAATGTATATTTGACTTTCCTTTGCTGTTGCAGTATATCATACACTTCAGTTATAAGATGCATTTCATATTATCCTCAAATGTTAGGAATAAATTTATATGACATATTTTGCAACTTGACGTACTCCTCATTTATCATGATAACTGTTCACATTATTATATATAAAAAGAAAAAATATGATGTAGAAGTTGGAAAACAAGAGCCAAATGAAAACTATTGTTTACTGACAATACATGTTATTTAAAACTAAAAAAAAGTTGCATGTGGATTTTAATCCTACAGTTTCAGTTTTTTTAAACTAACCTAGCCTCTGATATTTCAAGATACTGAAAAAGTTGCTTGCTAATATTAATAGTCAGCTACAACCCTGTGAACTATGAAACTTAGGGTACTGGCATCAGAATAATTAAGGTGGTATGTATTAAATCCCACACTCTGAGTACTAGCCTGAGGGGTTCCATTACTCCACACTTCACTAGGTAAATTCTCCATTTGAAATGTTTTTCAGTTATTCCATTATCTATGCACCCACCCTGCTGACTTGGTTTTATCCATTACATTGACAGAAACATCAAAACCAGATAAAAAAAAACTTCCTGGAATCTGACAATGTGTAGGATTCTGACAAGCTCCATCTGCTATTTACTTGTACTTAAACTATAAGCCTTGGGGGGCCCATGATTACACAAATGGTGGTACGGTTAGTCGAGTCATACATTCTCTTTCATTGTGTAAAGTAGTGCAGTCCACTGACAGGGTAGAACATACAAAGCATTGTCCAATTCCTCGATGAGTAGTTTGTGGGTTTAGTCATTGCCCCAGTGCAATTTGCACCATTGTTTAAATCTCCTTTCCATTTCATTCTTTCTCTGTATTGTACACAAAGTATTTCCCAAGTGAATGTTAAAAGAAGAGCCCTCTCATTCTTCTGCCCATGCCTTGCCGATCATAGAGGACATTAAATTTATTCACAAACTGAAAAAAGATNGATTCCTCGATGAGTAGTTTGTGGGTTTAGTCATTGCCCCAGTGCAATTTGCACCATTGTTTAAATCTCCTTTCCATTTCATTCTTTCTCTGTATTGTACACAAAGTATTTCCCAAGTGAATGTTAAAAGAAGAGCCCCCTCATTCTTCTGCCCATGCCTTGTCGATCATAGAGAACATTAAATTTATTCACAAACTGAAAAAAGATGAAATTTTAAGTATTAAATTTACAATAAGAAATTCACAGCAAAAGAGCTAAACTCTTTACCATAATCAAATGAAGTGTTAAACTGATACTGATATGGCTTTTTCTTTGATAAATTAAATCACTTTTGATTTTATAAACAATTAGCTCTGTTCCATAGAAATAACTCTTCATACTTTGCCAAAGTTAAGAAGAAAAGTTTAAAAGTTTTCTAATATGTGGCCAGTCTGGAAAGGCTGAAACAAGAAAATTTGAAAGTCATTTCTTTGATTAATTCTACAATATATTAAAAAAAATATATTACATATGATAAACCTACCTGATTAATTGTATTGCATCCCTTGGTAAGAGTCCCTAGGTATGTCATTAGGCTAACATCATTACATTGCTGGAATAGAAAATTAAAAAGAAATAGAATCTAAAAGTGAAAACAAGGAGCAAAATATGACCCCCATGTGTTCTCAGTGGACATAGATTTTTAACTAACAATTCTAATAAAGAGAAAAAAGAAATATTACTTTTAGCATCTGGTCTGTTTGTGCTGTTACTTGTTTACCATTTTTTACTGTAGATATTTTTCATGGTTATGTTTTCAGCCTATTTAAATAATTGATCTTACATATTTTCTTTTTCAAACATTGCCTCACAAAGCTTCAATCCTTTTTTTTTTGTGTGTGTGTGCAGGCAAATTTTCTATGCAACAAAAATAGAGGTTATATAGAAGTATGAAAAAATTGTCCAAATTTAAAAAAAAAAGCGACCTGTCTGGGGCTGTTTATTGAGTTCAGAAATCTTACTGACAAGTGTGGTTTAGAAGTCTGCATTAGGAATTTCTAAAATATTCTTACATTGAAGAAATCCTCTTTGAACTTTTCAGATCTTAACACTGGCAACCTGTGGCATAAGCTGTACGTCTCTCGGAGTATCTCATGATTTTTTGGCACTTCACCTGGAAACAAATAACATAAAGAAGCCAAAAAGAAAAAACCAAGCAATTTCTGAACTATTAAAATAGTTGTTGTGTGGTTATTATATTTAAAGTAACTGCAGATTTCAGCATAATAATATGATGTTTTAAGAACACGCCCTAAATTTCTCAAACCTTTCAGTATGGCACTCAAATGTAATATCTACCTGCTTGCACTGCCTTGAGGTAGTCCAAGATGACCTTCACCCTTCCGTGTAACATCTTGATAGCATTGTGTTGAGCTGTAAGATGTTCTGAGACTGAAAAAAAAAACGGCAACAATTTTATTATGCAGTAAAATACACGTTTGTCACATCAAAATGCTTATACAGTACTGAAAATAAAACACAAACTATTAGTTTTTTTTTTTATTACAGCAATACAGTATATAGCGTAAATATATAATTTTGCAATGTGTCCCTTTTACAATACACATAAAATAATATGTAATGTATATAATATAGGTTTGCAATCTGTGCAAACCTATATTATATAGGTTTGCAATCTGTGCACTAAATATTTTAAAGAGCATGCCTGTGACATTAATTGCATCTCTATGTGAAGGTATACGGTTACTAGTACTCCCTGTTCATATTATCTAGACATGTATCAACCTCCCCATTTGCAGTTATACTCTTTCATAAGAAAATATTTCATAATGCCAACAGAGTCACAAGTGGGACCACAGATTGGTGTCTCAGTGTGAGGACACACTGACCACTGACCTAATGAGTTCTCAGCACTTTCTGAACTGGACACTCTGGCCACGTGGTCCACCCCTATCCTCTCGGCCTCTTCTGTGGCCAGTGTGTACTGGAGCTCCACAAACAACATGGTGGCCTGGAATTACAGGAGAGTAAGAACAAGTTTAAATCAAGTTTTTTTTAAGTCTGTATAGGAGTATAGATGAAGTCAAATGAGTGGGGGGAAGGTGTCTAGAAAAAATATAATATGAGATTGACTCAAAGACTATAAACTTGTATGATAATCTTAATTCAGAATCTGACTACGTAGCTGTAGTTAATATAAGGTGTTGTACTCACCACCCCATTGACCAGGTCAATTACAGATTCATACACACTGACTGGAAGCTGCTGGGAATAAAACAATGTCAGGGAGTCAATTCTATCTGTACAACTTCTGAATGAGGAAAAAACACCTCACCACGATTTCTCAATATCTCTTACTTGTTCAACTCAGCTACAAATGATATCAAGCTCAAAGTCAAAGAAACTACATGTATTCTAAAGCATAATTATATTATAAAATTTGTTAAGCATTCAAAAATTGTTGATAAACTAACATTTGTTTTCTTTTTCCTCTCCCCCCCCCCTTCCCATCCCCCCTCTTTAAAGCCATCCTGGCAGATTTGGCAATTTATCCAATTACTTATTCATCAATAAATGAAAGATACCCAACAGACTTTTTTCCTTCAAAATCAAGTACTAGCATATCATCTGATCAATTTATGAGTTTAAATTTAATTTACACTATAAAAAGGAGCTTAACTTTACTTATGTGTATTAAAACATGAGCACAAAGGTGTAATTATTAAAATGTGTTATATAAGATCTACTGCAAAATCAGATAAAAAGTATTCAATGTCCAATACCAATACCTATAAATATCAAAATATTTCAAGAATGATATTAAAATTAAAATTTCATAAGTTAAAACTCACATCAGCTTGTCTTGATACTGGACTCAACTTCAGGAAAATTGGACTTTCATTGATATCACAAACCTGTGAGAAATAGTGAAATTATTAGTATTCATTTATTGCATTTTTTAATTTAAGTACCATGTACAGTGCAGTCCTCATGTGAGTGGCTCTCGAATTTGTTAATTTTTTTAAAAATTAGAATCATGAATGTACTTATATGTCCTTAAATTAAATTCTTTTAAAATTAATAACAATGTAAGCATTTCAAGTGTAACATATAAAATTTAATTGCAAAATAATTATCAAAAAGGCAGCGACATCCCCCATCCCCCCTCCACCCCATACATCTCTCCAGTATCTCGTACCTGTCTGTGTACTGTGATGTCTGATTCATCTGGCATCTCTCCAGTTGTATACCAACCCAGGAAGTCCATGTCACTAAAAACTTGCTTAACTGAAAGTAGAAAATGTAAAGTATAATTTTAATATAATACATATGATTTAGAAGTAAGATTATACCAGAGCAATGAGTTAGGCAAGGCATAAAAAAACATTATGTCCCTCGGTCCACACCAGAAGCAGGTCATAGATGTAGTGTCTTTTAACATATTATTATATACATTTTTTTCATGCGGCAAACTTAGATTAACTTAAACAGTCAACAATTCTATGGTATATTTATTTTTTCACCAATGAAGTCAAAACAATTCAATCAAAGTAAAAGCAACAATAACAGTTTAAGCCTTTCATGTAGCTCTTAAATAAACACTAGTTTTAGCAAAAGTTTATAATGATAATAATACCAAAAATTATAATATTTATCTAAAGTCTAAAACCTGTAAAATTCAGAACATTTTACAACCAAAAACATCCCAATATTAAGACAAGATCTAAAACCCACAGTTAAGACACTGAAAGGAAATTCACATTATACAAAGTGTTATACAGAAAATAACTTCAACTGTAATATTTCTTTAAAAGAATTGTTGAGTTGTTTTTAAAATCATCCTTGGAAACTAATTGGTGAAAACTAAGTGGCAACTGTTACTTATGTTCCACATTACTGGAGCAAACACCATACTAGTAGTTTTGTTGCCACTGGTGTTTAGTATCAGCTGAAGTTATATATATATCAAGTGACTTACACTGTTCTTCTTTAGTAGTGTAGTACTCCCTGTCAATTATAGTGTCTCCTTCTACAATGTCAAACATCAGTTCAAATGAGTTCATCACTTCGATGTTTCGGCTGTGCTGTTTACCAATCAATGCTCCGAGAACTAAAAAAAGAAACGTCTAAGTTTCTATGTGTTTATGAAGATTCATTTTCTTACTCTATCTCTTATCACCTCAAGTTAATAATTCTCTGTTCTAATATACAAATAATTTTACTACATTTAAATACATGTATGAGAAAGAGAATACAGTATATCAGCACTAGTACACAATTCTAAAATTATGAGGGACCCATTTTCCAATTTCACAAATGTCACATTTTCCAAATTCCAAGCTAGTTAAGGTGTTACTGTTTTTATAACACTGTCATTATTGTAGAAACTTCTATTTTGTCTCAAAACTTTCATTAGTTTTTAATTACTTCATTAAAGTCTCACATGTTGACAACATAGTAATAAAACTCTCGATCGAATGACAAACAACCTGGAATTTTTCAGAGAACAATGTTGTTCGCATCATCGTAAAAAGTAAGTATGTATTTAAGTTACTTCGTCTGTGTACTTATAAATGACAATGACAGTGTCAATAACACACACAGCCACAGGCGAGGCGTAACTCACTCTTTACAGGCTTTCCTTCCTGAGCCCGGACTCGCGTCCAATGTTCGGATATATTCATTATCACCAGTGGGTGGAGCTGCACCGATACACTGCCAGACAAGCTAGAGGACGCCATAACATTTGACGGAGCCGCATCCACCTCCATTTTCGAAGCCATCGCAGCAATTCAAAGCGCCACCTAGGGAAGTAGTCATGCAAGATAAGCCGAAAAGAAAAGTTACCCTTAGGATCCGGGACTGACGGTGAATAATCAGTAAAATCTCACCCAAGCTTCAGTTTTGACGTGTGTAAATACATTGATTTGTTACTTTAGTTAAAAGAAGGGAAACAGTGCCAGGTTAGTAGGTAACTGTCTTTCAAACATTTGCTACTAGACGGTTGTACCCTGTACCTCTATGTCAATGAGACAGTAGCTGTTGTAAGTTAAAATACAAATTGTTGAATGTTAAGACTGGGCGTGTAGATCAAACCTGGTAAATTGATTACGAAATGCGACATACGTATCCGTTTGTGTAATCATTTACTAGTATATCATCTTTATGATTATATATATAGGCGTGGGGTTCGGGGGGTTCGAAAGAACCGCCCCTTTTGCTGGGAAAAGGTCCACTCTGGGTAAAATTTGATCTATGTACATGAAGTTTTTATGGAAAAAGGTCCACTTTTTCAGAAAAAGAACCCCCCTTTTGAAATGGCTGGCTACGGGCCTGATATATATATATATATATATATATATATATATATATATATATATATATATATATATATATATATATATATATATATATATATATACATGTATATCAGGAAAAAATTCAAACTGATCAGAGAAGTAAATGCAAAACAGATTTGCAATTCTCTTGGAATTTGCAAAATATTCCTACCCGCAACAAATAAGGTAGAGAAGTTAAAATTTGTTGTTGTTTTTTTAAGTACTGTATTATATTTCATTTTTACACAGATATCTTGGTAATTGCTTTCTCAAGTACTCGCTTTTAATGTAAAGTCTGCTGAACTATTTTAATGGATTTTAGACTTAAATAAATTTCCATATTATTATTAAAATTTCCTTGATCATTCATATCCCTGTAACATTTACTAGTACATGTACATCAATTTGCTGTTTCACTGCTAGATTTATTTATTACATGTATTAATATTGAGTATTGACATTCAGGTCCAGACCATGTCTTATCAGATTCATGGGGTCCCTCCCCCAGTGTACCCAGGTGTGGATTCCACGCCTACCCACAATGAAAACACTGCGCAGCTTACCAAAGCAAGAGAAGCAGGGGAAGGTGAGTGACATTTTCAATTTTAGGCTTGTTATAGATTAACTGGCAATCACTCTAGTACGTGTCACTGTTCAAGATAATTTTTAATGGGTAAAATGAAGTGACTGCATTCTGAACAGATAATCTGCCGACTAAATATGGCCAATCCCACTTCAAAGGCGAATAAGAAAATGAAGCATGTGATATCGTCCACTCCTTAATCACCATTGAATAATTTATTTAATTGCAAAATAGACTGATTCTACTCTCATTTTAATATTTTCATAAATTTATTTATTTATTTATTTAATATGACATGATAGTTTACTAGTAATTCAATTTTGCTACAGGTAAACATTAACATGACTTCTTCTTAATTTTCAGTTGATGAAAATGAGATAGTTGTAATGGAAGCTAAAGAAGAAGAGCCAGGGCCTGCCACTTTTGCCATCGAACCTGGTTTCCGTAACACACCAGATAACCCTTGCAGAGAGAGCACCATCACCGTCCCTCATCTGGTACGGAAAGTTGCCTCCGAGGAACTGGTGCCAAAAGGCTGGAAAAGTCTCAATCGTGTGTTGATCGTGACTTATATTTCGTATTTATTTTGTCCGTTCATCGCCTGTGCGGCCAATGCGTGGGTGTGGAAGGCAATCAGGGCGCGGGAGAAGGGCGTGTATGCCAGGACCCAGGAGTTCTCCAGGATGGCTGTCATAGCCGTTTATGTTGCAATTCCACTTGGTCTAGTGATCTATGTGACTATTATACTTCTTGTAGTTTTGCAAGGGTAGTCAAACACCAGTATGTACCACCTGTAGAACCAGGTGAAACAGGCCACCTTGTGATAGAAACTGAGGAGTGGTGGTATATAGAACTTAAGTTTTTACTGACAGTTTTGTTTGCTGTGATTTAAAGCGAACAACACAGGAGAAAGTACATATTACAAAAAATATTCATAATCGCCATCCCCTGTGTTAGAGTTATGGCGAGTTAGAAGAAAACAAGACTTAAGGTTGGATAGCCCTGGGTAACCTTGGGATAATTAGGTAAATATAAATTTTGTTGCCAAAATCCTCTTTTGTGCACCTTTAAATACAGAAAAAAGAGCTGGTATTATTTTTCCAATTGGTTTCAAGTTTTGTCAAGTTATGCACAATTTTAAAAACTACAAGCCAAGCCAGTTATTATTTTTTCTTTTTCTCTTTTTACTTTAAAGGAAATGTGCTCCTGGTTGTGATGATTTTAAGAGGCAAAGAATATCAGCAGAATATTGTCTGCTCCACCATTTTTTTTCTTTTGCAGTTTTTTATTGAGTAATGGTTGTTACAAGATATGTAAGTGAATTACAGTAAGCATTTGATCTCTATTGAATGTACTGGTGGTGTGCATTTTTGTTTTATGGTCTTTTTCTCCACTTTACAGAGAAGGTTACAATATCAATCGGCATTTGAGAAATTTAGTCTTATTGGATAACAATTAGAGTTTTAAAGATGTGCATGGGAGAAACAGTGCCATAGATTGTCTTGTGGAGTTGCCTTTTATGTTGTTTCTTGTCAGTTTTATATTTTTACTCATCTTCTCACATGGTGCTGAAACCTGTGAAATAAACTATGTTGGTTACTGTAAAATATTACAAGTGTGATGTAGCAGCCACAGGGAATGTAGTTGGATGCCTTCAACCAGTTTCTAACCTTGCAGTTTTGTTACAGAAGTCAACCTCAGCCTGTCACCCTTCTCTCCATCTTGCTGTGTAATTTATGCATCAGGGATGTGCGTTTTCCTTTACAGATTTTAATGTAACTGGTGGTGGGGCTGTCGTTATGGTTTGAAGATACAGTTTTATAACATTAAGAATTTCTTATCAGTACTTGAAATAGCCATGCATAAAGGTAGACTACTTATGTAGTTTTTGCGATTAATATAATTATCAGTAGCTAAAACACAGGAAGTGTCATAGATACCCATGGGGTTAGGGCCACTGGGGGTGGCTACTGTTCAATATGTGTGAAGTGTGGGCATGTGTTATTGCAATCCCCAAAAAACAATGTGTGTTTACTATGTTATATATAAAGAATTCATCAGTGGTTTATTATCCCAGAAAACCAAAGATTGAACAATAATGATCATATTAACAAATGAGATTAAAGGTGCTTACAGTTAGATAAATGTTAGATCATAAAATGTATATTAGCTACAGTGCTTACAGTTAGATGTAAGTTACATGATAGAATGTTTATATGGAAGGTGCTAATAGTTGCAATTTAAAGCTATAACTATATATAAAGCTGTATATGAAAGCCATGAGAGATGTACTCGCAGGATTCAGAACTCCATGTTACTACCTACACATGAACTAAGATTTGTCAGATAATCTTCTTTATAGAGAATGTAGAAATTTCATATGTTGCCTAGATTAGCAAAAGGTTCAATATATATTTTAGACAAGTATTATTTTGTATTTCAGATCTGTGTTTAATGTATATATATTGGTACAGATATAAATATTTAATACCAGATATTATTTTTAAAGTTTAATCTCTTAACAAAGTAAAGAGTGCATAAGATGCAAAGCTATTGGTAACATATTCACATATAATCCAAACAAGGAGTTATAACTCTTTGATTAAAACAAAAACTTCGAGGTTATGTTGGTCTGTAAGACTTGTACGAAGTAGTATGGTAATGCAAATTTATTAATAAGAATAAATTTTTTTTTCTTCAATCAACAGTTGAAGATCGTAATAATGTTTAGATCTACCTCCAATATTTTGATAAATTTCAATAACGTTCAATATTTAGCTATTGATTGAAGATTTTTATAATTATATAACACAGCTGATAAAATTCTTCGCTTTTTATCAGTGTATTTTAAACAAGTTTTATCTGCACTTTTAAAGTAAATTTTTCACTTGTATCACTGTTTCCAATGTTCAAATGTAAATATAATATATTTAAAAATCTCCAGTGTCATTATTGTCATTTCAGTATTATATAGGTCATGTCCGTTCTGTCAAAATGTGCTAAAACCAAGAAAACACAGACTGCATGTGCATTACTTGTCAACAAATAAAAAAAGTTGATAAAGGTACAGATCTGCTTTTATTGAATAAAACTTTCTTCCCTTAAAATGAAACAGTAAAACTGCCCATGAAATCAAGGAATTTCAAAATTTGCAGAAATATGACCCAACTTTTTGTTTTTGACAAATACAGACCAAAAGTGTATGGAGCTTGTCAGCTAGTATTGGACCAGACTGTTTCTTTGTGCAGTTTCAGATGGCTTAAGAAAATGTGATCCACCATCACCATGCCATGGTACTTTCTGCCATCAATTCACATGTATGGATTAATTTTCATGATGGAATTGTAAACCACTGGTGTCGTTTTTCACATGTACCGGTATGTACTCATTTTGTGGTGAAAACTTAATAAATTCTAAACAGTAACGGAGTGATTTTGAAGGGAATCCCCAAGGTCTTTCATAACTGCTGAACTTAAGTATACATATATAGGCCTATATTTGTACCCCTGTATAAATATATATATATTGTAGTGGTTGGTTTGACTGCTGTCGGCGTCGTCACTCCCACTTCGTACAGTCTACCACCTCCGCTCACTTCACTGCACTGAGAACACGCTCATGGCTATACCCAAGATTGTGACATTATAGAAAAGAAGGCGGAACAGTGGCGTGAGCGTCCCTTCTAGAAAATGTCACTTGAACGTCAATTAATTACGCAGAAGTATTGAAGATATGCGTCCATTTCCTCTCCACCTCACCATGACCCACTGAACGAAGTGACACAGTGTCACGTTCTTCATGTCATTTCAGAATGTGCTTTTTTATATCTTATTTTGACTAATAAAAATGCCAATCAAGATAGCATTGTCACTGTTAAATTGGCGTTTTTCTTTCCAGAAATCTAGGATCCAATATAAACTTTTTGTTGGATCCTAGCGGAAATTGATGACTTCTTGCTCATTAATGAAGGAACTAATTGCAAATATAACAATTGTCCCTTTTGTCAGTTAAACCCACACATGTTATATAAGATAAGAAAAATCAAGCCATTAACACGTTTTCTTTAAATGTCGATGCTGAGCGAGGTATTTTAATCAACCAATAACTGCCAAACGAGCACCACATCAACGCGACACGTGCG